TTCACCTGGCCCAGGAGCTGAGCTCCCACCTGGAGCTGTTTTGGGGTCACCTGTCTTTGCTGAAKCCCAGAGTGAGGATATCCAGCTTTTCTCCCCCAAGGACACAGCAGGATTTTGCAATCCCTCCCTTTCCCTGGTCAATCATTCACCCGTTCCAGCAGCTGACCAGGAATTCCCCAGTTCCCACCTCCACGAGCACTAAACCCCTCAATTAAAACACAAAACTCCGCTGCAATCCCACATTTCTCTGCTCACAGCCAGCCCTGCCCAGTTTGGGACTGATTCCTCCCAGAACAACCCAGGGGGGGAAATTAWTCCTGACAAACCCTCCCTGCCCGGAGCCCCACTTACGCCAGGAGCTTCTTGCGGGCTTTGTCCGCCTTCAATTTGTGGATGTGCTCCATGAGGATCCGCTTGTTCTTGAACACGTTGCCCTTGACCTTCAGGTAGAGGCTGTGGTACCTGTGGGGCCCAGTGGGACAGAAAATCAACCCCTGCCCAGCATGGGAACCTCCCGAGGCTGGGAATTGCTGGGATTCCCCAGGGAGGGCTGGGAATTGCTGGGATTCCCCAGGAAGAGCTGAGTTGTGGGGTCTGGGAGGGGGGCAGGACTCACATGTGGCGGTCAATCTTCTTGGACTCGCGGTAGCGGCGCAGCAGCCGCCGCAGGATCCGCATCCGCCGCATCCAGGTGACCTTCTCGGGCATCCGAGCGTTGGCTGTGCCCTTCCTCTTGCCTGGATTGGGGGAAACGGGGTGAGAACGACCCYAAATTCCTGCCAGCTCAACCCCACAACTTTCCACACTCTTCCCCCAAAGCCTTTTACCATCCTCTTGAGCTCAAAAAACCCACTACAGGACACAAAGTATATTTCTGTCATCACACCCACACTCTGGGAAGCGATTCCAGGTGATTCCACAGCAGGAGCTGTAGGAAATGGGGAATTTCTCCCGTTCCCAGCACTCACCGATGCCCATGTGCCGGCCCTTCCGCCGGGCCAGCGTGTTCTTCCTGCAGCGGGCGCGGGAGTGCACGGTCACGGGCTTGCGGATGATCAGCCCATCCTTGATCAGCTTCCKGATCTGCTGCCCTGCAAAAGGGTCCCAAACAGCTCCTGTGGGACTGCCAGGCCAGCACCGACGCCAATCCCACAGACAAGAACGTGACTCTCCCCTCAAAGCCTCTCACGCCCATGGAGCTGCTCTTTCCCCTCCCATTTCTCCCACGGAATCTCAAATAATCCCAATTCTTTCATTATCAGAGAACACCACAAACCAAACCCATCACCGGGCACCTCATCAGTGCAAATCCTGAAAATTCCACTTTCAAGTGCAAAGAAGTTGCTCAAGGAGCTGGATTTTACCTAACACAAAGGTTGGATCGAATGATTTTGGGAGGTCTTTCCCATACTCAATGATTTTATCATTCTAGGGCAATGTCACTGTTATTAAGCTTCCCAAAACCCCTCTTCCCACACTCCTGGGGGATCCCTTCCTCCCTCACGTACGGGAGTTGGCGTTGGCGATCTCGTTGGTCTCATTGGGATCCAGCCACACCTTCTTCTTCCCGCAGCGCAGGACGCTGGAGGCCAGCCTCTTCTGGAGCCGGAGCATACTGCGAGAGRGATGGGCAYGGATCAGGGGGGCTCTGCGCCCASYACAGGGACCCCCRAATCCTCCAGGGACTCTGCACCCCCTTCTTGGGGACCCTCACCCACCCCTCAGGGTATCCCCTCACCACCCTCAGGATCCCCTCACCACCCTCAGGGTATCCCCTCATCCTGTTCACGGTCCCGCATCGCCCTCAGGGGATCCTCATCCCCCTCAGGAATTGTCCCCACCCGCCCCTCAGGGACCCCCTCATCTCCCTCAGGGTACCCCTCACCACCCTCAGAGTACCCTCACAATGTTCAGGGTCCCGCATCGCCCTCAGGGGACCCTCACCCACCTCAGGAACTCACCCCACCCGCCCCTGAGGGACCCCCTCACCCCCCTCAGGTCCCCGGTCCGAGTTCCCGGGACACCCCGCGCTGCTCCAAGGRGCGCATCCAAGGACCGTAGAGCCCGAAACCAGCGAGCCCACCCCACTCGGCGCTGCCCAGACTCCCAGCCCCTTCTCACGTCCCCCCGGCCCCTCAGCGCGGCCACCGCGCCCCCTCCGCCATTTTCCCGCGAGGCCCGAGGAGGCCGC